AAAAAAAAAAAAAAAAAAAAAAAAAAAAAAAAAAAATTTGGCAAAATCATTTCCCAGCAGTATTTTGGAAATTTCTCCTGGGAAAGACTTGGGGAGCAGCCGCTAATTTAAGGGAATCCCAGTGCTCGCGTGCCGATGTCTCCCATAATCCCGCCTCACACTGCCACAGACTTAAATTTCCTCTACAAGAGATTCCCTTAAAACTGCTCCTGAGCATTTGAGTTCTTCCAAGACCAGAGCCCTGGACCCAGCTCATTCCAGGATCCTTCCCTGACTTGTGCCGGTGGGAAAAGTTGCCCGCGGCGGGTGGTCTTCCACCAAGACAATCTTATAAATCTCCTTACCTTTCCCAAAGAGCCGCTTTCGTGCCGCTTTGGCGGGAGGGGGATCCAGACAGATGGCCAGTCTTTTCACGTTTGGAAAGGATGAAAAATGCTACAGGGGGGAAAAAAATCCCAGTGATTTTTTTTTTTTTCTCTTATTTCGCCGTTCGGCGCAGAAGGGCTCCCAACCTCATTGGCCCTGGGAGATCCACCACGTGGCACGGGATGAAGAGCACGTGACCTATTTTCTCCCAAATCCCTGGGTTTGCTGGAAAGGGGGATGCACCCACTGCTGATGTTCTTGTCATTTCRTGGGCTTTGATTTATTTATTTATTTTTCATTATTTTTTTTAAAGGCCACTGAGCAAATCTGGATGCCTCAAGGCGATGAGGGCGAACCAACCAACGCTTCCAACACGAAGGAGAAAGGAGCTCGGCACGAGATGAGCCCCAGCACGCTGCCGGTGTGCAGGGGGAGATTTGGGAATGCTTTATAGGGTCACTGCCCAACCAGTGCAGGGCTGGAGCCCACGGGAGGGACAGGAGGGCTGTGCTAAACCCTCTGCTCAGAGGCAGCAGCACGGTGGGAAGGAGCAGGCTGAAGCCCTGCCTGCACGTCCCGGAGTTCAGCTGGCTCCCTGGAGGAAGAGGATGTGTTACAACTGCTCCATCACCCAAACCAGATGATCTCGTGCCCCCGTGTTGCTCCTGACCCCTCCTCAGCTGTTCCCATCCCTCCTGGCTGACACACYAAACAACTGCACCAAGAGATGGCAAGTCTCCTTCTTTGGCGGCTGCTGAAACAGCTTTCTGGGAAGCTGGACCAAGAGCAGTGCAGGGAGCGTGGCAGTTCTGGGAGGGCATCGCCTGCTCCCACCAGCCCACGCCATGYCCAAAGGGTGTTTCAGTGTCTCCCCCAGAGAGACTCACCAAACTCAAAACGCAGCAAAATTCTGGGACCTCAGAAAGGTCCCTGASACCCTGTGGAGCAAGGAAAGCCAAGCCACTGCTCCCCTTTCCCAGGATCTGATTTTGACTGGTGCTGAGGGGTCTCTCCTTGTCCCAGTTGAGCCACCTCAACCMAGCTAGCCATGGTCCACAGGCCAAGCACCTCCTGTCCTTGCCTTGCCAGCAGGGCAGGTACCAGCCCATCAGCACCCAGAGATTCAGTCTGGGGAAGGGAAAATGAATTTGTGTAGCCCCAGACATCCTCATGTTTTGTCCCATCAGCTGCGCCAGTTGAAAGCTCTGTTTTTCTGGCAACTCACATCTCCACCTGGCTGTGCCAAGCCTTGGCTGCGCCTCCTTTCCACGCCAGGGACCTGATCACCTGAAAGCTCTGGCCAAATCTACCTCTGGCATCTGCCCTTGGATGTCACTTCTGCAGGGCAGCTGTCCCCACACACCCCATCACCCAAGGGCTCAAGCCCTTTCTATCCAGGGGTGACACCGAATGCTCCCTGGAGAACCAGCTGAGCTCGGGCTTTGGTCAAACAGCCATGGCCACCTCCRGYCCTTCTTGTGTGGTCACCCACATCCCAACTGGTGTATCCTCCTTTCACGTGCTCCCCCTCCACAGCAGGGGGTTGGAACAAGATGATGTTCAAGGTCCCTTCCAACCCAAGGCATTCCACAAACTCTCCCCCACCTTCCAGCCCCCTCCTACTTCCCTGGTGAAGCTAAAGCTGGCTCCCCAGTAATCTTCCCAATAATTATATAATAGAGAGGCAGGAGGATAAATCATTTCAGGCCGCCGTGCCGATAGAAAGCAAGCTGGATTAAAAGATCAGAACAAGCAATACTTAGATTAAAATGGTTTGTTATTTTCAGCTGCGAGGAAAAATCTGTGGCTAAAGCACGGAAGATGCAAAGGGAAGATGCACCATCATCTTCTTGCCCCCGAAAACTCAACCTTTTTACATATTGACCAAGACAAGTTCTAAGTTTCCAACCTCAAATCAGCTTTTGCTTTCCAATGGGTCAAAAAAATTCATTTTGCCAATTTACATGGCATTTGAGCAAAAGATTAATTGATGCTTCAAGGTGTATTTTGCTCAAGTGAAGACATCAGAGCCCTTAAAGCAGGAGAACCGGCACGTGGCTCGGCAGGTAACAGCACTGCCTGTGGAAAACGTGGCTCATGGCATGATGGGTGCCAARCCCCGTGCCTCGTCCTGTGCCTCCCCACACCCCCGAGCTGATGGCAGCAGGCTGCCAGGCTTACCGGCAGCGCAGAGGTGGCAGTGGCAGCTGGGAGAAGCCCATCAGACAGGGGACAGCGCTCTGCAGGGACCTATATGTTGTCCCCCTGGCCCCCAGCAAGGTCGGCGGCCCGGGGTGCWACGCTCTGACTGATGGCTTTGGAAGGGCGTGAAGGGGAGGCAGGGAAAAGGGGGCCCAGCTCTCCGCAGGGCATRGCACTCATCAGCCCATCCCGGATCGATGGCTGAGCTTTGCTCGTTCACCTTCAAGGTCAGATTGAGCACAAGGGTCAAACTGGGAAATGGTTTGCCACTGGCAGCTCATCCCTATGGCCACCTCGCAGCCTCACACCGCAGCCATTTCCCTCGCTGGAAGGGGCAATTCCCACCCCACAGCATCTCCAGCATCGGCATTCCCACCCCAGCACTCTGCTAACCCCGCACAAGCTCCAGCTCCCAGCAGCAACAGCGACTGCTCATCCCATCACCTGCATGGGACATGAAGCAGCAGCAGCTGTTCCAGTCCTAGAATATCCTGATTTGGGAGGGATTCACAAAACCCATCGGGTCCAGCTCCTGGACATCCTCTGCCATTCCACCTTGTGCTCTTGTCTCTCCCACCTGTGTTTTTTCTATAAAAAAGTCATGGCACCACACACACAGGATCTGAGTTCCGAGGATGAAATCSCACAGGGCAAGAGGTCCAAGGCAAAGCCTGGAGAAGGGCTTAGACAGAAACAAGCACCAGAATCCTCTCCCTCCTGTGGATGTGAGAGAAAGGCTGGGACACAGAATTGGGAGAAAGGATGGGATGTTGGACGGGGAGCACGATAAAGCAGAAACATTTTATTCAGAGACCTTCGTGGGGGGAGGGAGGGAGGTAGGAGCTGTGGGATGTCATGATGTTCACCCAAATTAATCCTTAATAACTAATTATTGCAGTGAAGTGTCTTCCCTAAAGCCAGATAATAAAGTGCATTTACTGGACGGTCTGGGGACTTGGTCCCAGGCTGAACACTCAGCTGCMCCAGCAAACACACGTCCCAGTTTTCCTGGGGTTGGCCACGGGGGATCATTCGCCAAGACTGCCATGCTCAGGAAGATACCAGCAAACAGGGAAGAGGCAAGGAGCTCCAGGGATGCACTCCCAAGTGCATCCTTCCTTTGGTTCATGGCCCTTCACCCCAAAAATCCCTGTACAGATGGATGTGTTTGTAAGAGGTGCCCATGGCAAGACAGAGCTGCAGCGATGGCAGAAACCCCGGACCAGACAAAATCCATACCCACCACATCACCAGAGGCCATGGATAAACCTCCTGACAGTTTTTTTTTTTGGCAAGTTCTATCCTTGCTGCACCTTACTGGGTCACCTGCAGCTCCTCAGGGAAACCTCCATCCCCCTATCCAAAACACACCAGCACRTTGCAGCTGCGGGGTGTTTGCTCTGGCTGGATTCTCCGAGCATTTTCYGTGCAGAAAACAGTGGTAAGTGACACTTCCAAAAGGAATGGGAGAGAAGTGGGTTTGTCTGTCRCTACAACATTTCTGCTTTATGGAGCTGTGTTCTCCCTCAGAGACGCGCGTGCTCCTCTCCGCTAATGGAAAATGTTGCCCCGCCATCCATTCGTGCCAGTCAATGCCTGGGACAACACGATGGCCTGGGGCCACTGCACGTCTATTTTAGTCACAAAAGCCGAGTGGCTGATGAAAATCACCCCCGTCTCTGCRCTTCCCAGCTTAGCTCTTCGGATGGTTTTAATGGAATGACCAGCGTGGCGGAAAGCAGGCAGCGAGGGCAGGGACAGCAGGATGGGAGACCTGCACGGACACAGAGAGGCCCCAGTGCCCTCCCTGCAGGTGCCCCACAGCCTGAGGGAGCTGCAAAGTCCCCTCCTGCCAGGATTGRCCCTGGGAAGCTGTGGCTGCCCTATCCCTGGAAGTGTTCAAGGCCAGATTKTGGAAGGTGTCCCTGTGGAACAAGATGAGCTTTAAGGTCCCTTCCAACCCGAACCATTCTGGGACTGCATGACTTGGAAAGGACCTTACCTTACCCTGCAGGATGGCCTCGAGCTCCAGAGTGATTCCTGGGAGGGCCTGGCTGCACCAGAAAAGGGCATGCTGAGTGCGGGGGGAAAGCCAGCAGTCCACGGCACGAGCCTGCAGGCCAGGACATGGCACAGGTTATGGCATGGCACAAAAACACATAAAAACCACTTAACATGAACTTCAGAGAGACATGAAACACAGACTGCCTCRGGGGTCGGGGCAAAACCATCAGGAGCATCACCTCCAGGTTGCGTTTGGGCTAGGTAAGCACTACCTGTATTTTCCTCTACATTCCAAACAGGTTTGGGCAGATCCTCAGCATCCACCAACCCCAGGAAATCATCCCTGGGATGGCAGAGACCCCCAGGTGACCAAGGTCCAGCAGTCCTCCTCTGTGGTCACCTGCCTGTGGTCCTGCCCAGCTCTGGAGGCAGGGGTCTGCTTCCTACAGGAATCCAAAGGTGATGGAAAGAATCCAGCACGTTTCAGTGCCATGGGTGCTGGGTGCCAGCTGCATTTTTGCTGCTGCTCCCAATAAGTTAACTGGGGCATGCACTGCCTGTCAATACAATCAATSGAGCAGCCTCAGCCACTAATAAACGAGAGCCAGAGGGCAAGAAAACCTCTCCACTGCCCAAAATATTCCCTGGGCAGCGGGATGGGTGATCTGCAGACTCCTTGTTTGAGTTGGTGTAGCTCCTTCTGCGCTCGGGCTCCTTGTGTGTCAACAGGAGAAACCTTTCTCTTGCCAGTGACTCAGCAACCTCTGTGCTCATCCCCAGCGAGCTGGGCACCTCCCTGCCCAGGGAAGAAGCCTGTCAGCAGGAGGGAGCCCACGGCACCTCCTGAGGTCAGTCTTCAGTCCTGCTGATGCTCACAGCAGCGTCAGCACAAAGAGCAGAGCAGGCTGCCGGGGCTTTATCCCTTTGGGGATTGAAAACCTCCAMGGATGGAGCACACACAGCCTCTCCAGCTGCCCACAGAACTCATGGTTTTTCCCTCAGTAGTTCCCTCCATGCCCTCCAAGGTAGTGGCTGCATCCCCAGCTGGTRTCACCTGCAAGCAGCACAGGCCCCAGGATGGATCCTGAGGGATTTCCCTCCTCTCTGTTGAGCCAAACACATTTTAAATCCCAGTAATGGCTGCAATCGTAACATCCTGTCCCGTGGATTCTGCCCAAAAATAAAATACTGGAAAGGATGGAACCCCCAAACCATGACTCACCGTTGGAGGACCTGCAGGGACAGGGCAGGGATCCTGTGGAGCTGGGGGTCAGCAGTGGAGAGGGCAGGGAAGGATCTGGAAAACAGCATATCTCAGCACCCTGAGGAGCSCAGACAACCCTCCCCATACCCAGAACCCATGAGAGCATCCTCCCAGCACTGCTCCCGTGGCCAAGGGCAACACAGGCACAGGGCAGCACGAGGGAAAATCAGCCCAAAACAGAGGAGTCCTTGGTCATTGTTTTATTCCAATCAGTACAAGTTGCTGGTCACTGATTGCAGGGTTGAGAAAAAGAAGGAAAAATCCTGACCATGGCACCAGCCTCATCAACCTGTAACCATGGAAAGGGAGCTCAGGCAAGAGTTTAGGATACTGGAAGGACAAGAGGGTGCAAGGAGACCCCAATCCTTCTTCCCAGAGCCAGTGTGGGCACAAATCATCAACCCACAGCCCACAGATTCACTGGGGAAGAGACTTGCATTGGTCTTCCAGGTCCTAGGTTGGAGCTGATACCAAGACAAGGCTTAGCATGCAGGGAACTCAGCATTAGGGAATTTATCAGCAGTTTTCTTAATCAAAAATGAGTCCGCCCCTCAGCAGCTCTGCTCCTTCTCAYATCCACCCCTCCCACCACTAAGCTGCAGGTGAGAGCCCAGCCATGACCCCATGGTCCTGCAGCAGGCACCACGTGCACACCCACGAGGTGTTCCCTGCCATCAGGGTGCAGGTCACTTCCAGMTGTGTCCCATAGGACTGGGGACATATTGGGACAACCTCAGCTCCAGCACAGGCAAGAGGGAACCTCAAGTATTCCAACAGT